AGAGGTGTTTCGGCCCTCCAGGACCGGAATTGAAGAACCCTGCTGTAGAGACTATTACGTCTTTTTTACAGCAACTTCTTTCAAACAGATTATCCATGGAGTAACCATGGTAACAGTCTGACGTTTAGGCAAGCTACTTTGCTATTGAGTGGTGAGGAGGAGGAGCTCCACAGACCCTTCGTGTCTGGAAGTAATTTAGCCATTCATTGTAGTCATTGCGATCTGTAAAGTTGCTATTTTCTCGAGTATTCGTGTTAATTAACTCGTGACATTCCTGGATTACTAATTATATTAATAAAGTCTGATTTAATAAACAAATACGATAGTCAGTTAAAAAAAGGTTAAGGGTACAAGACTGTGTACATAGCTGGCTGTGTTGGCAAAATCACTACATATCCCATCAAGCCAAGCGGGGAGAGGCTGCCCGTTGTCACAGTTCCAAGACCAATAAAAAGCATGAGCTGGCACACACCCAGAGAAAATTGTTTAGTGTAGAGGTGCTGACTAACGGCGAATAAACTGTAAGCTATGAAAATAAAGAGAGTCGCACACTCATATATATATATATACACAGTGAGGGAAAAAAGTTTTTGATCCCCTGCTGATTTTGTACGTTTGCCCACTGACAAAGAAATGATCAGTCTATAGTTTTAATGGTAGGTTTATTTGAAAAGTGAGAGACAGAATAACAACAAAAAAATCCAGAAAAACGGATGTCAAAAATGTTATAAATTGATTTGCATTTTAATGAGGGAAATAAGTATTTGACCCCTCTGCAAAACATGACTTAGTACTTGGTGGCAAAACCCTTGTTGGCAATCACAGAGGTCAGATGTTTCTTGTAGTTGGCCACCAGGTTTGCACACATCTCAGGAGGGATTTTGTCCCACTCCTCTTTGCAGATCTTCTCCAAGTCATTAAGGTTTCGAGCCTGACGTTTGGCAACTCGAACCTTCAGCTCCCTCCACATATTTTCTATGGGATTAAGGTCTGGAGACTGGCTAGGCCACCCAAGGACCTTAATATGCTTCTTGTTGAGCCACTCCTTTGTTGCCTTGGCCGTGTGGTTTGGGTCATTGTCATGCTGGAATACCCATCCACGACCCATTTTCAATGCACTGGCTGAGGGAAGGAGGTTCTCACCCAAGATTTGACGGTACATGGCGCCGTCCATCATCCCTTTGATGCGGTGAAGTTGTCCTGTCCCCTTAGCAGAAAAACACCCCCAAAGCATAATGTTTCCACCTCCATGTTTGACGGTGGGGATGGTGTTCTTGGGGTCATAGGCAGCATTCCTCCTCCTCCAAACACAGCGAGTTGAGTTGATACCAAAGAGCTCCATTTTGGTCTCATCTGACCACAACACTTTCACCCAGTTCTCCTCTGAATCATTCAGATGTTCATTGGCAAACTGCAGACGGGCCTGTATATGTGCTTTCTTGAGCAGGGGGACCTTGCGGGCGCTGCAGGATTTCAGTCCTTCACGGCGTAGTGTGTTACCAATTGTTTTCTAGGTTACTATGGTCCCAGCTGCCTTGAGATCATTGACAAGATCCTCCCGTGTAGGTTTTGGCTGATTCCTCACCGTTCTCATGATCATTGCAACTCCACGAGGTGAGATCTTGCATGGAGCCCCAGGCTGAGGGAGATTGACAGGTCTTTTGTGTTTCTTCCATTTGCGAATAATCGCACCAACTGTTGTCACCTTCTCACCAAGCTGCTTGGCGATGGTCTTGTAGCCCATTCCAGCCTTGTGTATGTCTACAATCTTGTCCCTGAGATCCTTGGAGAGCTCTTTGGTCTTGGCCATGCTGGAGAGTTTGGAATCTGATTGATTGATTGCTTCTGTGGACAGGTGTCTTTTATACAGGTAACAAGCTGAGATTAGGAGCACTCCCTTTAAGAGTGTGCTCCTAATCTCAGCTCGTTACCTGTATAAAAGACACCTGGGAGCCAGAAATCTTTTTGATTGAGAGGGGGTCAAATACTTATTTCCCTCATGAAAATGCAAATCAATTTATAACATTTTTGACATGTGTTTTTCTGGATTTTGTTGTTGTTATTCTGTCTCTCACTGTTCAAATAAACCTACCATTAAAATTATGATTGATGACTGATAATTTCTTTGTCAGTGGGCAAACGTACAAAATCAGCAGGGGATCAAATACTTTTTTCCCTCACTGTATATATATAAACTCCCAGTAATTTATTGGGTAAAACACCAACGTTTCGGCATCACTGTTCCTTCTTCAGAATATATATAGATAAAATCAAATAATAAATCAAATCAAATATTATTTGTCACATGCGCCGAATACAAAAGGTGTATACCTTACCGTGAAATGCTTACTTACAAGCCCTTAACCAACAATGCAGTTCAATAAATAATTAATTATTTACTAAATAAACTAAAGTAAAAAATAAAATGTAACACAATAAAATTACATAACAATAACGAGGCTATATACAGTGGGTACCGGTACCGAGTCAATGTGCAGGGGTACAGGTTAGTCAAGGTAGTTTGTACATGTAGGTTGGGGTAAAGTGACGGTGCATAGATAATAAACAGCGAGTAGCAGCAGTGTAAAAACAAAGGGGGGGGTCAATGTAAATAGTCCGGGTGGCTGTTAAGGAGCCTTTTGGACCTATACTTGGCGCTCCGGTACCGCTTGCCGTGCAGTAGCAGAGAGAACAGTCTATGACTTGGGTGACTGGAGTCTTTTACAATTTTTGGGGCCTTCCTATGACACCGCCTAGTATATAGGTCCTGGATGGCAGGAAGCTTGGCCCCAGTGATGTATTGGGCAGTAAGCACTACCCTCTGTAGCGCCTTACAGTCGGATGCCGAGCAGTTGCCATACCAGGCGGTGATGCAACTGGTCAGGATGCTCTCGATGGTTCAGCTATATAACTTTTTGAGGATCTGGAGACCCATGCCTAATCTTTTCAGTCTCACATCGGTGATCAGGCCTACCACCGATGTGTTGTCTGCAAACTTAATGATGGTGTTGGAGTCGTGCTTGGCCACGCAGTCGTGGGTGAACAGGGAGTACAGGAGGGGACTAAGCACGCACCCCGGAGGGGCCCCGGTGTTGAGGATCAGCGCGGCAGATGTGTTGTTTCCTACCCTTACCACCTGGGGGAGGCCCGTCAGGAAGTTCAGGATCCAGTTGCAGAGGGAGGTGTTTAGTCTCAGGGTCCTTAGCTTAGTGATGAGCTTTGTGGGCACTATGGTGTTGAACGCTGAGCTGTAGTCAATTAACAGCATTCTAACATACATGTTCCTTTTGTCCAGGTGGGAAAGGGCAGTGTGGAGTGCGATTGAGATTGCGTCATCTGTGGATCTGTTGCGGCGGTATGCGAATTGGAGTGGGTCTAGGGTTTCCGGGATTATGGTGCTGATGTGAGCCATGACCAGCCTTTCAAAGCACTTTATGGCTATCGATGTGAGTGCTACGGGCGGTAGTTATTTAGGCAGGTTACCTTCGCATTCTTGTTCACAGGGACTATGGTGGTCTGCTTGAAACATGTGGGTATTATAGACTCGGTCAGGGAGAGGTTGAAAATGTCAGTGAAGACACTTGCCAGTTGGTCCGCACATGCTCTGAGTACACGCCCTGGTAATCCGTCTGGCCCCGCGGCCTTGTGAATGTTGACCTGTTTAAAGGTCTTGCTCACATCGGCTACGGAGAGCGTGATCACACAGTCGTCCGGAACAGCTGGTGCTCTCATGCATGCTTCAGTGTTGCTTGCCTCGAAGCGAGCATAAAAGGCATTTAGCTCATCTGGTAGGCTCGCGTCACTGGGCAGCTCGCAGCTGGGTTTCCCTTTGTAGTCTGTAATAGTTTGCAAGCCCTGCCACATCCGACGAACATCAGAGCCGGTGTAGTAGGATTAAATCTTAGTCCTGTATTGACGCTTTGCCTGTTTGATGGTTTATCTGAGGGCATAGCGGGATCTCTTATAAGCGTCCGGATTAGTGTCCCACTCCTTGAAAGCGGCAGCTCTAGCCTTTAGCTCAGTGCGGATGTTACCTGTAATCCATGGCTTCTGGTTGGGATATGTACGTATGGTCACTGTGGGGACGAAGTCGTCAATGCACTTATTGATGAAGCTGGTGACTGAGGTGATATACTCCTCAATGCCATTGGATGAATCACAGAACATATTCCAGTCTGTGCTAGCAAAACAGTCCTGTAGCGTAGTATCCGTGTCATCTGACCACTTCCGTATTGAGTGAGTCACTGGTACTTCCAGCTTTAGTTTTTGCTTGTAAGCAGGAATCAGTAGTATAGAATTATGGTCAGATTTGCCAAATGGAGGGCGAGGGAGAGCTTTGTATGCGTCTCTGAGTGTGGAGTAAAAGTGGTCTAGAGTTTTTTTCCCTCTGGTTGCACATGTGACATGCTGGTAGAAATGAGGTAAAACGCATTTAAGTTTGCCTGCATTAAAGTCCCCTGTCACTAGGAGCGCCGCTTCTGGATGAGCATTTTCTTGTTTGCTTATGGCCTTATACAGCTCGTTGTGTGCAGTCTTAGTGCCAGCATCGGTTTGTGGTGGTAAATAGACGGCTACGAATAATATAGATGAGAACACTCTTTTTAGATAGTGTGATCTACATCTTACCATGAAGTACTCTACCTCAGGCGAGCAATACCTCAAGACTTCTTTAATATTAGACATCGCGCACCAGCTGTTGTTGACAAAGAGACACACATCCCCGCCTCTCGTCTTACCAGATATAGCTTCTCTGTCCTGCCGATGCACGGAAAACCCAGCCAGCTCTATATTATCTGTGTCGTCGTTCAGCCACGACTCGGTAAAACATAAGATATTACAGTTTTTAATGTCCCGTTGGTAGGATAGTCTCGACCATAGATCATCGAGTTTGTTTTCCAGTGATTGCATGTTGGCCAATAGAACCGATGGTAATGGCGATTTACTCACTAACAAGGCACCCCGACCTTCTCCCTCTGTGTCTTCGCCTTTTCTTCACTCAAATGAAGGCTCTGTTTGTAGGCGAGGCAGACATCCGGGAGCATAGGGTGACCTTTGACGAACTAGTCAAGTTCATCTCCAAGAATTCCACACTTGCTACTTGCCCAGAGGTGTTGGAGTTCTTAGGTAAGGTACCACAATGCACTACAAGTCTTTTCCATACAGGTTTGAGAAATGTTGACTTTTCCATACAGTTTTGAGAAATGTTGATGTGTAATTAATAGCTCTTTACAACTAAATATGCCACCATGCACTGTTGGCCGGTAAATAACTTGTTTGATTTGCTTGTATCTGACCAAAACTTGCACTTGCTAACTCATTCACCTACATTAATACCACCCCTGCCATCTCAAAACGTTCAACTTTGGGGATTACTACTATTACGACTGCACTGCACCAAACTACCAAAACACTTGCATTTGATTGAAATGATTCTTTGAACAATGAGGTTACTGTATACCAAGGTGCTCAGGGGTTCAAATTCAAGATGCATGTCAGTGCATCTGCCTTGCTAGTTATTATTGAAAGTTATGAATTATGAACCAACAGAAAAAATGTACAGTATTTCCCTTTAATGTAGAAGTTGCTTTATTTAATCAAGAATATAATATCATAAAGAATGTTTGGCTCACAGTTAATATTTTTACAGGAGCAAAGTCCACAGTAGCAGATTTGAAAATCAGGAAAGTTGCAGATTGGAAGGACCAGGATAAATAAGAAGGTTTTAATTTATTTGAAAGGGATGAGACCCCTGCTGCTGATGCCAGAGTAATTAAACATGTTCCACCAGTGAAGTCTAGTGAAGAAGAGGAAGAAGATGATGATGAGTACCTTGGACCTCTAGGCAATGTAAAGTAAGAGCCTTTTTGAGGTTGTGTTCATCTTAGATGTTTTTCTCAATGGGTTTGGCGTCTTCTCATATATCTATATTCTGGATCAACCGTATGAAGAGAAAAGATCATTCCAGGCTGTAAGGCAACAAAATGTGAAAATTGAGATACTTTCTACGGGCACTGTTTGATATTTAATGCTATCGGTCACCCTTTCCCCCAGATGCACGAGGGAGAAGAAAAAAACACCTCTACAGGCTAAAGTGGCTACCCAACCGAAGTTTTCTCTGTTTGATGAGGATATAGACGAATTGTTTCAACCTGCAGCTAAAGACAGTATGAATATTTAAATATAGATTGTGTGTTCCTTTTATTGCCTCCATAGGAACTGTCATAACAATGTCAGAAGATGTCTACAAACAGTCTCATTGGCAGAGATTCCAGACTGATATATATCAGATCTGGTCCCAAGCAAGCCTGCCTATTGTCCAACAGAAGTTCAACTTATATCTTCATATATCTTTATTGTGCTAACAGGCATGAACAGCTGTTTAAGGATCCAGACTTGGCAGGAAAAGTGAAGTTGGGGGACCCTTTACTACTTCCAACAGCATACAAGGATGTGGCATCTGCAGATTCAGGACTGGATGAGGATGCAGATGAACTTTTCAGGTATACAGTATTTTTTTTATATTTGCGAGACAAAGATAAGTGTTTATGACAACATTTTATTAGCCTTTGAACGTTGTCCTTGTTTCCCTTTTCAGAATAGAAGACAACTTTGACAAGCTCCTCCAGGTCAAGAAAAGTGTCAAGGCAAAGCCAGTTCCTGCCCCCAAACCGGCCTCGAAGCCAAAGCCAGCATTGCCTGTGAAGCCCTCCTCTCTAGCCTCAGGTGATGGGGGCTCGGTTGTAGATGAGGTGAAGTATCAAATGGACATCCTCAAGTATATCCAACAAAATTAGTCTACAACTAGTGATGATCTGGATCTGTTTTAATTGCCTACTAAATTATAATATATAACTGATTAGGACTCATGAAGCTGTTGTTAGCAGGCCACACAGCAGAACAATGTGATTATGACTATAATTATAGGTTGACATTCCCCAGGATTATTCCATCAAGGAGGCTTTTTGGAAGACTGAGTCAAACAAAAAAAGTCTACTGAACATGGGTAGTTACATTCAGTGGTGGAAATAGGCCACTGATCTAATAGATTGTCACGATCGTCGTAATGAGTGGACCAAGGCGCAGCGTGAAATGCGTACATCTTTTAATGCGTACTTTGCACAATACAACAAAACGAAACGTGAAGTCCTCGGTCATAAACACAAACGTACACGGAACAAGATCCCACAAAAGACAAGTGCACAACAGGCTGCCTAAGTATGGTACCCAATCAGAGACAACGAGCCACAGCTGTCTCTAATTGGGAACCACCCCGGCCAACATAGAAACACATAAACTAGAACAAGAACAAGAACATAGAAAACGAAACATAGAACCTAACACCCAGAAACTAACACATAGAAACTAACACCCTGGCTCAACATATAAAAGTCCCCAGAGCCAGGGCGTGACATAGATTTTCTACCCATATTGCTTTCCTACTCTTTATACCGAGCATGCTTTATACACATTACCATGATTGAGTACAAGTGCTTCCAAATGCTATGTTTTACAAAAAAACTAAACAATAAACTCATTTTTGTAAAGCTTGCACAATTTTATTGGATCATATTCATGTAAAAAAAGAAAAGAAAAAGGAAACGTCATGTTTTTACCAAATAAGTCTACAATTTTACAAAATGACATGCTTACTGGCATTATTTATTTAGGGCATCATACACTGAACAAAAATATAAACGCAACAATTTCAAAGATTTTACTGAGTTACAGTTCATATAACGAAATCAGTCAATTTAAATAAATAAATTAGGACCTTATCTATGGATTTCACATGACTGAGAATACAGATATGCATCTGTTGGTCACAGACACCTTAAACTAAAAGTAGGGCCGTGGATCAGAAAACCAGTCCGTATCTGGTGTGACCACCATTTGCCTCATGCAGCGCGACACATCTCCTTCGCATAGAGTTGATCAGGCTGTTGATTGTGGCCTGTGGAATGTTGTCCCACTCCTCTTCAATGGCTGTACGAAGTTGCTGGATATTGGCGGGAATTGGAACATGCTGTCGTACACGTTGATCCAGAGCATCCCAAACATGCTCAATGGGTGACATGTCTGGTGAGTATGCAGGCCATGGAAGAGCTGGGACATTTTCAGCTTCCAGGAATTTTGTACAGATCCTTGTGACATGGGGCCATGAATTATCATGCTGAAACATGAGGTGATAGCGGCGGATGAATGGTACGACAATGGGCCTCACAGTATCTCTGCATTCAAAATGCCATCGATAAAATGCAATTGTGTTTGTTGTCCGTAGCTTATGCCTGCCCATACCATAACCCCACGCTCCAATGGGGCACTCTGTTCACAACGTTGATATCAGCAAACCGGTCGCCCACACGACGCAATAGATGCTGTCTATCATCTGCCGGTACAGTTGAAACCGGGATTCATCTGTGAAGAGCACACTTCTCCAGCGTGCCAGTGGCCATCTAAGTTGAGCATTTGCCCAGTGAAGTCAGTTATGACGGCGAACTGCAGTCAATCAAGACCTGATGAGGACGTCGAGCATACAGATTACCTTCCCTGAGACGGTTTCTGAGTTTGTGCAGAAATTCTTCGGTTGTGCAATCCCACAGTTTCTTCAGCTGTCCGGGTGGCTGGTCTCAGACGATCCCGCAGGTGAAGAAGCTGGATATGGAGGTCCTGGGCTGGTGTGGTTACACGTGGTCTGCAGTTGTGAGGCCGGTTAGACGTACTGCCAAATTCTCTAAAATGACGTTGGAGGCGGTTTATGGTAGAGAAATGAACATTAAATTCTGTGGCAACAGCTCTGGTGGACATTCCTGCAGTCAGCATGCCAATTGCACACTCCCTCAAAACTTGAGACATCTGTGGCATTGTGTTGTGTGACAAAACTGCACATTTTAGATTGGCCTTTTATTGTCCCCAGCACAAGGTACACCTGTGTAATGATCATGCTGTTTAACCAGCTACTTGATATACCACACCTGTCAGGTGGATGGATTATCTTGGCAAAGGACAAATGCTCACTAACAGGATGTCAACATATTTATGCACAGAATTAGAGATAAATAAGCTTTTTGTGCGTGTGGACAATATCTGGGTTCTTTTATTTTGGCTCATGAAACATGGGACCAACACTTTACATGTTGCGTTTATACTGTATTTTTGTTCAGTGTATATTACAGTACAAGTCAGTACAAATTAAATATGATATTTACTGAATTTAAGAACAATTTATGTTATTTTTTATTTTTTGTTCAATAACATAAGTGCCTATAGAAAGTATTCACACCCCTTGACCTTTTCCACATTTTGTTGTGTTACAGCCTGAATTTAAAATGGATTAAATTCACATTTTGTGTCACTGGTCTACACACAATACCCCATAATGTCAAAGTGGAATGATGTTTTTTGACCAATTAATTAAAATGTAAAAGCTGAAATGTCTTGAGTCAACCCCTTTGTTATAGCAAGCCTAAATAAGTTAACATTTTACATTTTAGTCATTTAGCAGACGCTCTTATCCAGAGCGACTTACATTTAGTGAGTGCATACATTTTTCATACTTAAGGAGTACAAATTTGCTTAACAAGTCACATAAGTTGCATGGACTCACTCTGTGTGCAATAATAGTGTTTAACATGATTTTTGAATGACTACCTCAAGTCTGTACCCCACACATACAATTATCTGTAAGGTCCCTCAGTCGAGCAGTGAATTTCAAACACAGATTAAACCACAAAGACCAGGGAGGTTTTCCAATGCCTCACAAAGAAGGGCACCTATTGGTAGATGGGTAAAAATAAAAAAAGCAGACATTGAATATCTCTTTGAGCATGGTGAAGTCATTAACAACACTTTGGATGGTGTATCAATACTCAGTTGCCAGAGAGGAAGGAAACCGCTCAGGGATTTCACCATGAGACCAATGGTGACTTTAAAACAGTTACAGAGTTTAATGGCTGTGCTAGGAGAAAACTGAGGATGGATCAACAACATTGTAGTGTAGTTACTCTGCAATACTAACCTAAATGACAGAGTGAAAATAAGGAAGCCTGTATAGAATAAAAAATATTCCAAAACATGCAACCTGTTTGCAATACGGCACTAAAGTAAAACTGCAAAAAATGTGGCAAAGGAAATAACTTTATGTCCTGAATACAAAGCGTTATGTTTGGGGCAAATCCAACACAACATCTCTGAGTACCACTCTTCATATTTTCAAGCATGGTGGTGGCTGCATCATGTTATGTGTATGCTTGTCATCTGCAAGGGAGTTTTTTAGGATAAAAGAAATGGAATAGAGCTAAACACAGGCAAAATCCTAAAGGAAAACCTGGTTTAGTCTGCTTTCCAACAGACACTGGGAGACAAATTCACCTTTCAGGAGGACAATAACCTAATACACAAGGCCAAATATACAGTGCATTCGGAAAGTATTCTGACCTCTTCACTTCTTCCACATTTTGTTACATTACAGCCTTATTCTAAAATGGATTAAATTATTTTTTTCCCTCATCAATCTACACACAATAACCCATAATGACAAAGCGAAAACAGGTTTTTTGAAAGGTCCCACAGTTGACAGTGCATGTCAGAGCAAAAACCAAGCCATGAGTTCAATGGAATTGTCCATAGAGCTCCGAGACAGAATTGTGGTGAGACACAGATCTGGTGAAGGGTACCAAAAAATGTATGCAGCATTGAAGGTCCCCAAGAACACAGTGGTCTCCATCATTCTTAAATGGAAGAAGTTTGGAACCACCAAGACTCTTCCTGGAGCTGGCCACCCGGCCAAACTGAGCAATCGGGGGAGAAGGGCCTTGATCAGGGAGGTGAGGTGACCAAGAACCCGATGGTCACTCTGACAGAGCTCCAGAGTTCCTCTGTGGAGATGGGAGAACCTTCCAGAAGGACAACCATCTCTGCAGCACTCCTCCAATCAGGTCTTTATGGTAGAGTGGCCAGATGGAAGCCACTCCTCAGTGAAAGGCACATGACAGCCCGCTTGGAGTTTGCCAAAAGGCACCTAAAGGACTCTCAGACCATGAGAAACAACATTCTCTGGTCTGATGAAACCAAGATTCAACTCTTTGGCCTGAATGCCAAGCGTCACGTCTGGAGGAAACCTGGCACCATCCCTACGGTGAAGCATGGTGGTGGCAGCATCACACTGTGGGGATTTCTTTCAGCGGCAGGGTCTGGGAGACTAGTCAGGATCGAGGGAAAGATGAACGAAGCAAAGTACAGAGAGATCCTTGATGAAAACCTGCTCCAGAGTGCTCAGGACCTCAGACTGGGGCGAAGGTTCAGCTTCCAACAGGACAATGACCCTAAGCACACAGTCAAGACAATGCAGGAGTGGCTTCGGGACAGGTCTCTGAATGTCCTTGAGTGGCCCAGCCAGAGCCTGGACTTGAACCCGATCGAACATCTCTGGAGAAACCTGAAAATAGCTGTGCAGCGACGCTCCCCATCCAACCTGACAGAGCTTGAGAGGATCTGCAGAGAAGAATGGGAGAAACTCCCCAATTACAGATGTGCCAAGCATCATACCCAAGAAGACTTGAGGCTGTGATCGCTGCCAAAGGTGTTTCAAAAAAGTACTGAGTAAAGGGTCTGAATACTTTTGTAAATGTGATATTTCCGTTTATTTTTATTTTTAATATATTTGCAAAAATATTTTAAAAACTGTTTTTATCTTCGTCATTATGGGATATTGTGTGTAGAATGATGAGGGAATAAAACAATTTAATTCATTTTATAATAAGGCTTTAACGTAACAAAATGTGGAAAAAGTGAAGGGGTCTGAATACTTTCCGAATGCACTGGAGTTGCTTACTAAGACGACATTGAATGTTCCTGAGTGGCCTATTTACAGTTTTGACTTAAATCGGCTTGAAGATCTATGGTAAGACTTGAAAATGGCTGTCTAGCAATGATCAACAACCGTCTTCACAGAGCTTGAAGAATTTTAAAAATAATAATGTGCAAATATTGTACAATCCAAGTGTGCAAAGCTCTTAGAGACTTACCCAGTAAGACTCACAGCTGTAATCATTGCCAAAAGGTATTCTAACATGTATTGACTCAGGGGTGTGAATACTTATGTCAATTAGATATTTTTGTATTTCATTTTCAATACATTTGTAAACATTTCTAAAAACATGTTTTCACTTTGTCATTATGGGGTATTGTGTGTAGATGAGTGAGAAAAATATATATTTAATCCAAAATATATATTTAATCCATTTTGAGTTCAGGTTGTAACACAACAAAATGTGGAATAAGTCAAGGGTTATGAATACTTTCTGAAGGCACTGTACATACTATTTAAAAGTCATTCACAATTAGGTTATGGTGGTGCCAATCTGAGACAAACTTATTTTTTGTCCATTTTTACTCAGCAGATCTTATTGTCCTCAGACATACATTGTGTAGTTCTGGGCTGATTACTCACTGTTCTCATGATCATTACAACTCCACGAGGTGAGATCTTGCATGGAACCCCAGGCCGAGGGAGATTGACAGTTATTTTGTGTTTCTTCCATTTGCGAATAATCGCACCAACTGTTGTCACCTTCTCACCAAGCTGCTTGGCGATGGTCTTGTAGCCCATTCCAGCCTTGTGTAGGTCTACAATCTTGTCCCTGACATCCTTGGAGAGCTCTTTGGTCTTGGCCATGGTGTAGAGTTTGGAATCTGATTGATTGATTGCTTCTGTGGACAGGTGTCTTTTATACAGGTAACAAGCTGAGATTAGGAGCACTCCCTTTATGAGTGTGCTCCTAATCTCAGCTCTTTACCTGTATAAAAGACACCTGGGAGCCAGAAATCTTTCTGATTGAGTGGGGGTCAAATACTTATTTCCCTCATTAAAATGCAAATCAATTTATAACATTTTTGACATGCGTTTTTCTGGATTTTTGTTGTTATTCTGTCTCTCACTGTTCAAATAAACCTACCATTAAAATTATAGACTGATCATTTCTTTGTCAGTGGGCAAACATACAAAATCAGCAGGGGATCAAATACTTTTTTCCCTCACTGTATAGTCTGTAAAATAAATCATAGATTCTTGTCTGCTGGGGCCACCTCTAGGAATAGTTGCAGGAACACAGTGACTTTATCCAACAGTCCAGGGCACAGTTTGAAGTGGATGAAGGGCACATAAACCAAAACACCACTAAAGATAAACAAGGTGACATAGAGGTACTCTATCGCGGGGTTGTCAATTATAGGTGCCAGCACAAGGAAAATTGCTGCGATGATGACCAAGATGGGGATTACAATGGGAACCTGGTTGCACAAACACAAGAGGTGTGGACAGCAGATGGGACCATTGGGGTAATGAAATTGTTATAAACCAATGTCTTTTTCAAATGGACTCAGACCTTTATAAATAAAAGTAGAAATTACATATCTTATGAGACTCACCCTGTATGGCCTGGGAAGTTCAGGTTTCTTGATCTTGAGGTAGAGGAGCCCAGACAGAGTGATTGCATAGAAGAACCAGGCAGTGAAACTGGTAATATCAATGGAGAGGGATGTAAGCTAAATAAAGCAACAACAAAAAAGTAAATGTATTGAGCAATTTTTAAGTCATAGCATAAACTACCTGAAGAAGTTGACAATGCTCTGAAAGTCCCCAGGGATGAGAACCAGGAGTGAGATAGCCGTGGTGAAGATCAGGGCTGGAGAGGGGGTCAGTCGATTCACATGGGCCATGGCTAGAATATCAGGCTGGGGAAGGGAAAAAAACATGTTGACATAAGAACCTACACACATCAGATTATGCCAGAGTTTCTTTAAAAAAGGTTTTGTTAAAATTGCCTGTCTCTTGAATGTGTTTCTCACCATGTGTCCCTCTCTTGCAGCCACAAAGCACACCCGGCCACCACTAAAGAATGTTCCATTCAGGGAGCCAAAAGCAGACAAAGCGGCTGCGATAGACATCACCCATCCCCAGCTCCCGAGCACCTTATTCCTGTTGACGACAACAAGGTCATTTGTCAGCTCACCACAAATTTAAAGAAATGAGAGAGAGGTGTGTGGATGGAGTCAAACTCTCTCACCCCCAGGTGACAGCCACTGCACTCGACGACATCAGTTCTCTTGGCGTCATGGCAGCCAGGTAGCTCACATTGACTAGTAGATACAGCATGGTTACCATGGGGATGGCAATCATAACTGCCCTGGGCAGATTTACCTGAGAGGGTGCAAGATGGAGAAAGATATGTTACAGTTGAAGTCGGAAGTTTACATACACCTTAGCCAAATATATTTAAACTCAGTTTTTCACAATTCCTGACATTTAATCCTAGTAAAAATTCCCAGTCTTAGGTCAGTTAGGATCACCACTTTATTTTAAAAATGTGAAATGTCAGAATAATAGTAGAGAGAATGATTTATTTCAACTTTTATTTATTTCATCACATTCCCAGTGGGTCAGAAGTTTACATACACTCAATTAGTATTTGGTAGCATTGCCTTTAAATTGTTTAACTTGGGTCAAACATTTTGGGTAGCCTTCCACAAGCTTCCCACAATAAGTTGGGTGAATTTTGCCCCATTCCTCCTGACAGAGCTGGTGTAACTGAGTCAGATTTGTAGGCCTCCTTGCTTGCACACGCTTTTTCAGTTCTGCCCACACATTTTCTATAGGATTGTGGTCAGGGCTTTGTGATGGCCACTCCAATACATTGACTTTGTTGTCCTTAAGCCATTTTGCCACAACTTTGGAAGTATGCTTGGGGTCATTGTCCATTTGGAAGACCCATTTGCGACCAAGCTTTAACTTCCTGACTTACGTCTTGAGATGTTGCTTCAATATATCCACATAATTTTCCTTCCACATGATGCCATCTATTTTGTGAAGTGCACCAGTCCCTCCTGCAGATAAACACCCCCACTGCATGATGCTGCCACCCCCGTGCTTCACGGATGGGATGGTGTTCTTCGGCTTGCAAGTCCCCCTTTTTCCTCCAAACATAATGATGGTCATTATGGCCAAACAGTTGTATTTTTGTTTAATCAGACCAGAGGACATTTCTCCAAAAAGTACGATCTTTGTCCCCATGTGCAGTTGCAAACCGTAGTCTGGCTTTTTTATGGCGGTTTTGTAGCAGTGGCTCCTTCCTTGCTGAGCGGCCTTTCAGGTTATGTCGATATAGGACTCGTTTTACTGTGGATATAGATACTTTTGTACCTGTTTCCTCCAGCATCTTCACAAGGTCCTTTGCTGTTGTTCTGGGATTGATTTGCACTTTTCACACCAAAGTTCGTTCATCTCTAGGAGACAGAACGCATCTCCTTCCTAAGCGGTATGACGGCTGCGTGGTCCCACGGTGTTTATACTTGCGTACTATTGTTTGTACAGATGAACGTGGTACCTTCAGGCATTTGGAAATTGCTCCCAAGGATGAACCAGACTTGTGGAGGTCTACAATTTCTTTTCTGAGGTCTTGGCTGATTTCTTTTGATTTTCCCATGATGTCAAGCAAAGAGGCACTGAGTTTGAAGGTAGGCCTTGAAATACATCCACAGGTACACCTTCAATTGACTCAAATGATGTCAATTAGACTATCAGAAGCTTCTAAAGCCATAACATCATTTTCTGGAATTTTCCAAGCTGTTTAAAGGCACAGTCAACTTAGTGTATGTAAACTTCTGACCCACTGGAATTGTGATACAGTGAATTATAAGTGAAATAATCTGTCTGTAAACAATTGTTGGAAAAATTACTTGTGTAATGCACAAAGTAGATGTCCTAACCGACTTGCCAAAACTATAGTTTGTTAACAAGACATTTGTGGAGTGGTTGAAAAACGAGTTTTAATGTCTCCAACCTAAGTGTATGTAAACTTCCGACTTCAACTGTAAGTCCTTAAGATCATGTAAAGAAATACATTACTTATTACAGTGCATTCTTACCTCAGGTCTTTTCAACTCTTCTGTCACATAGTTCAAGTTGTACCAGCCAGCATAGGACCAGAGGCCTTGGTAAAAAGCCATCCCTATGGAGCTCACACCCAAGTTCGTACCATCAAAAGCGTTTTGTTGTACAGCAACATTACCCTGTGCAATTATCACTATCCCTCCAATTACTATAACCATCAGTGCAAATAGCTTAGCCACCAAGAAGACCACCTGAATTCTCATGGCTAAACGTACATTCAAGATGTTGGCCATGGCTACAACCATGACCGCTACAACAGCAGCACACTTCACTATTAGCTGAGGAGGAGAACAGTCTTGGTAGAAAGGTGCCACTGCATATTCTGCAAAACTGAGGGATATTGCTGCAATGCTCGCTGGCTTCACCACTAGTAGGAAGGTGAAGGCCACAAAGAAGGCAGGAAACTGTCCGTAGATTCGAAGAATGTAGATAAAGTCCCCTCCTGATTCTTTAATAATGGTTCCTAGCTCAGCATATGAGAGTGCCCCCAGCATGGCTACAAGGCCAGACAGTGTCCAAATGACCAGGCTTGCCCCTGGACTTCCAATGTAGGACAGCACAAACTGAGGGGACATGAATATACCAGATCCAATCATGGTTCCTGCTACCAATGACACAGCACTGACTAAACCCAACTCGCGCTTCAGTTGAAGTCCCTCTGTTTCTGTTTTTGCCATGGCCAGACCCCTATTTGATTCAAACAACAGGAGAAACTGTTGTCAATGATAGATCATCTCTTCTTTTAGGCAAGAACAATTATGACAAAGACCTGGCTAATCTTTGATGCTGGGTGCAAAGTCCTTAGTTAATATTAACTTCTCAGGTTGAATAAAGCATATTGTTTTGTCATCTTTGTTTATAGCTGTAAAGTGGTTCACATAAAGAATTTGTTAAATATTGACTAGGAGAGTGAGAAAAGGGGTTGCTATGTCATCGTACAGTTAGATAATTCCTTTAAAAGTTTTTGGATGGTGTAGAAACTCCTTCTTTCCCTGAGGTTTGGAAAGATCAAGGCCAAGGTTGACCTCTCTCACCGTTGTTATATGTGTTGGTGATAAAGCCACCTGCAATTGCTGTCAGAAGCCATGTGAATATAGAAATTACAGCTGTGGTCTTTTGAGTGTAGACTTGCCCCCTAGCTGATGAGGTTGGTCTGCAGACATACTGTATGTTACACTGTCTTTCCATCCTGATCAGTCTATCAAATCAAATTGTATTTGCTACATGCGCCGAATACAACAGGTGTAGACATTACAGTGAAATGCTTACTTAATCAACAATGCTGTTTTTTTAAGAAGCAGTAAAATAAAATGCAATCTAGATAAGGGAACACAGTATTGCTGTCTGTGGGATTGACCAAAGATCAAAGCATTTTGTCAGGATGCGATAAAGTAGACTTTTTGTCAGGTATTGGTGCAGTTGATTTTCCTGTATATTCTAAACTCTGTATTTTTGGTTTGTTTCATGTGGCCTGTAACCTCAGTAGTACAAAAAATGTAATGGTCTGTTTTTGCCTACTCCAGGCAAAACATACAATTGTAGCACTCTAGACAAATCCAGACAAAACAATATCAAACGGTTTAATTGTTCCTTACCTCAGGGCGTTTTAGTTCTTCTGTGACATAATTCAATGTGTTCCAGCCATCATAGGACCACAGCCCCTGATAAAGAGAAATCCCAATGGAACTGATTTCCACATTGGTCCCTTTAAAGGAATCCTCAAAGTTTTCAGTGTTCCCCTTGAAAAGCAGCACCACACCTCCAATAATGATCACTGCCAAGGCCACCAGCTTGATCACCATGGAAAATACCTGAATGAACATAGCCAGACGTACATTCATACTGTTCACAATGGCTAACATCACAATCCCTGCTGCAGCCACACACTTGACCACCAGCTCTGGAGGGGTACAGTCATGGTAGAAAGGAGCCACTGCATATTCAGCAAAGCTCAGTGCTATCCCTGTTGCACTGGCAGGTCTCATCACAATGACGAAGCTGAAGACAAACATGAAGGCAACTACTTGGCCAAATATCCGCAGAATATATATGTACTCTCCCCCAGATTCAGAAATGACAGTGCCCAGTTCAGCATAGCAGAGGGAACCCAACGTGGCCAGCAGGCCACAGGCTGCCCAGATCACCAGGCTGGCTCCTGGGCTTCCTATGTTGACCAACACAGACTGAGGGGACATAAAAATTCCAGATCCCATCATGGTCCCGGCAATGAATGAGATCGCACCAATAAGCCCCACTTCACGCTTCAAGCTGAGTTTCTGTGTTTCAGCTGCCATCCTGAGACGTGGTAGTAGATCTATTCTCAACAGATATTTTTTACCAACATCGAGGTCCAAACTGGGGCGAGGCATAAATGTTTTGTCTATATAGGACAAGGTCACACCTACAATTACATCAGTTAACTATTACTAGATTGGGGCTGAGTACTTGATCAGTGCTGTCAGCTTTAATCTACTAAAGAAGAAAGAAACGTACCAGGAATATGTATACCCATATTCCATAATTTCAACCATTCTGGAACAGTAGTAATACCTCAAATAGGTCAGAGGTAGGATGGTTCGCTAAAATGTATGATGTTTCACTTTGTTATCAATCGAGTTGGTCCTAAACTAAACCATCAATAGGAGCCAAGGAATGCCGCTTTTTGTCTGTGTCAGTGACACAGTTAAAGTAGGGCATGTTATGCTTCCCTGTGCCTTGGAGTAAAGCATGCTGCATTATTGAAAATACAGTAGATACTGAAAAGATGCAGGCACAGCATACCTAAACCACTTTTAGTGTTCCTTTGAAATTACCCTGTATGTGATATAATGAAAATATTATATATTACAGTATGTACGTTAAATCAGTACTAACATAACTTAAATGTGCAGTTTCTGTAGGCTTATGTAAGTGTGACAGCTCTAGCATGTGTGACATAAGGTGTGACAGTTCTGTAATGTAAGTGAAAACATTTCTTTACCTCAGGACGTTTCAGCTCTTCTGTCACATAATTGAAGTTGTTCCATCCATTGTAGGACCACAGACCCTTGTAGAAAGCAATACCCATTGATGCCCGGTCCCTTTAAAATAATCATCAAAGGTTTATATATATATATATATATATATATATATGCACGCTTTCCGTTTTTGGTTTCACATTGCTTCTGGGAAAGAAGCCACAAGTTAATGACCGGTAAAACTGAAACTTTTTTCAACATTCTGAGAACTGATGAGAACATTTTGCCTGTTCTGGGAAAGTATATTTTTAGGTTGCATGGAGGTTCTGAGAACGCTTTACTCTGGTTCCTTGAAAGTTTTCCTGGGAGGTTTGATTAACGCTCTGAGAATGGAAATCGTAGGTTGTCTGGTTGTTTTTTTTATAACATACTTAAAACTTTCAATAATACTGCTAGCTTATTTTTGGTTAACTTGTTTGAACTTCAAGCACAGATAGGACAAATGGAAATTAATTTCCTTAGGCATTAATCATGCAAACAATTTATTTTATTTTATTGTGACACGGCATCAGTGAGATTTGAATCTATAATCGTCAGTTCTCTATCTATGGAATTAGTCCACTGCGCCATCAGGATGGAGTTAGTGTGCCATGTTTTTTTACGCATACAAAGCTGTTCATTTTAGTCTATTCAAACAGACCCCATTTCAAAGCAAAGAAGCACTCATTAACCTCAGGTGTGGCCAATTAGTGGGTGCGGCCAACACACCTAAACACACTTAACAAGGTAGAGGATAGAGACAGTTTTGTTGATGCTGAGAACGGAATGTATATCTTTTTAAATAACATTCTTAGAACATTCTCTGAAAGTTACTAAAGTTTTCTTGTGGTTTTTCTGGAAAGTTTTCTAAACGTTCTAGGAATGATTTGAGAGCATGACTTTAAATAAACTACTTTTATTCTATTATTCTGACATTTCACATTCTTAAAATAAAGTGGTGATCCTAACTGACCTAAGACAGGGAATTCTTACTAGGATTAAATGTCATGAATTGTGAAAAACTGAGTTTAAATGTATTTGGCTAAGGTGTATGTAAACTTCCGACTTCAACTGTAGCTAGCTCTATCCATGCTTTTCCTGAACATGTTTGTCTGATATTATACGTTAGCTAGCTAGTTGATGTTCTAGCTAGCTCACCCAAAGCAGGGTTTTCTCTTCTTCGCTGGTCTGCAGACTACATGATCATGATGTTGTGGCTGTACTGTAACATTTAACGGACACTAGAACAACAACAACAACTAGCTAGCTATATGAGAGAGACATTTTCAGGAAAAGCAGCTTTATAGCAAGCCAATAAAATGAATATCATTGCACTGGTTCGACATTGGCATCTAGCTAGCTCATCTCATTTACATTACATTTTAGTCATTTAGCAGACTCTCTTATCTAGAGCGACTTACAGGAGCAATTAGGGTTAAGTGCCTTGCTCAAGGGCACATCGACAGATTTTTCACCTAGTCGGCTCGGGGATTAGAACCAGCGACCTTTCGGTTACTGGCACAACGCTCTTAACCACTAAGCTACCTATCTTGCCTGGGTACCGCAGCAGCCAGATGAAGCAAATGCATCTAATTTTCCCCATCCCCTCGTGTCTTGATTCTACAGGGAGCCAGTGGTGATTTTAGCATGTAAATCTTGGTGGGGCAAACACCCCCCCAAAAATGTTGATGCATGCCAACAAAGCCCCTACACAACTCAACACAACACTAAACAATACATTAATTGCACTATAACTGTGACAAACGGTGCCCACAAACTGTTAGGTTCTACATAAAGCTGTCCCAACAGCAGAGCTTTTTTCTCAGCACCATGGAGTGAATCCTTACCACTGCTACACCTGGCTATCAGCGGAGCCTTGTATGGCAGCGAATGAGTTCATTCAGCCTCATTTACTGCCTTTTTTTAAAAACATAGCTAATATGGCTGACTTGCTTAAACAAATGTGGTTTCTACTGACAATTGAGATGTACAAAATATGGTATAAGGGGACGACAAGCAGATAAGAGGCAATCCGTAATTTCGATTAAGACATTAATGACCAATCTAGTAGTCAATATAACTATTTGTTCAGCACTTTTGAAATATACAGCGACAGAATTCAGAATATGGGCCATTCTTACAGTATTCTCCCTGTACACCAAGTCAGAACCGTACGATAAATAGAGGGGGCATATAAGCAGACAATGAAAGCTCTTACAATATTCAATGATTACATTTCTCTAAAACAGGCTATAGGCTACATGTGCACCACCAAATAAGAACAGTAGGCTAAGTTACGAGGGGGAAAGGGACCAAATTATTAGGGTGAGGCACATGGGCTTCTAACAGCTTACTTCACAACATACACTTAGTATTACTTTCTTAGCTACAGTATACATATCCCCTTGGCATATTACATCATTTATGCAACAGCATACAATACATTTTTGGACTCACCTTGTTGTGCTGTGCTCACTTGAACAGGAAGGTGGCGCGGTGGTCCTTCTTGTGGGCACATTTTGTCATCAAAACTTTGTCATCAAAGTCTGGCATTATCTGGATTTATGGTGCTTTCAAGACAGCTGGGAACTCTGAAAAAAACGGAGGTCGGAGGTCTAGAAAGAGGCCCGAGTTCCCGACTTGGAATGCAGAGTTGGAAGACCGTTCAAAACATATTTTCCCAGTCGGAGCTCATTTTTTTCTGAGTTCCCAGTTGTCTTGAACTCACTGAAGTCTGAGATTTCCCAGTTCTGAGTTTCCAGTTGTTTTGAACACGGCAGAAGTCATGCTGGATTGACAGCATGGCCAATGTATTCAACCTTTTCTGGCCCATGGCATGTGAATGTTTATCCTTTTAAGCTTGGAAAAGAGACCCTTAAACCCAGACTTGGACCACACACCCACTCCACTGAATAGCATGCTAGTGATTGCTTTGCAATGCTTGCAGTTAGCCATTGATTCCTTCCAAACCACTCATTGTTGAATTTGCGATTTCCAACTTTTGTGTAATGTTTATGTCCAATGGCTAATGAGCACCGATACATTTTATGTATAATTTATCTTCATGTGATAAGGATTGAAAAGGATTTGCCAGTAGATTGTCAACGTGATTCATGATGATGACTACTTGTCTAGCTTGCTAGCTAAGATTTTGAAAGTATGATGTTGACATGATCAGTCCAATCAAAGCTATGGCAGATATAACGTGATTTGACGTCCTTTTATCTGTGGCCAATGACCTTGAGTCTTCTTGGATGGGCACTTCAAATGTAACTCTATGGCAGCAACCAAGGGACTTGAATTGAAAGCTCTCCCCGTAGATTTTGCGGTGACGTAGTGTCCCCATGAGTAACAGAACACTGAGCCAATCACGGCGCAACTAGAGAACATTCCAAACCCTACGCTCCGTATTTTCTGCTGGCTGCCCCACCACCACAGAAAGCACTGAGCTAGGCTGAAACACCTGCATTTTGGAGCTGCCTTACTCAAGAAAGAAAAAAAGAGACCATGTTTGTATGTGGCTTTATTAACTCAATTATTGTATATTTTTTACATTGTTTGCAAACTGATATGTGACACGTATTAATGCCAAAATAACATCCAAAATAGGCACAAAAAAATGAATGACGGTCGCCACTGCAGGGAGCTAGCCTGTTCTCCTCAAAACATTATTAGCAAGCTAGCTAACGTTAGCTAACTTTAGGAAAGATCTCAGCTTGCTAACTAGCAAAGTCAACCAACTACACACCAAATATACACCGAGCAAACAATTATTTTCTAATGTTAGTCTCAACCAAATGACAAGTACATAGCTAGACCTATTGCCCTGCTACACAACGTAAGAACCACTAGATACAGGCTAGCCAGAAGGCTCTAATGTTAGCTAGATAACTGTGATGTACTATTCAGGTACCCGTAGCTGAACTGGAGTGATTTAATGTGTGACGTGTATTCAGACTGTACTTAAGTAAACTGGAGAGTCTAATAGGGTCCAGCTGCGATGTCATCTCTCAGAGCAGTCATCCCTCAGGGTCTCTATGCTGCCACCTACCAATATATCATCTCTCAGTGCAGTGCATCTCTCAGGAAAAGTGGGGGTGTCGAAATGAGTGGGCGTTTCGAAAGGAACCATATAAGGAGAAGTGTTTTTTTTTAAAGGAGTCTTTTAACGCTAGAAGCGCTGGATTCCATAACTACTAGAACCGCCATGACTTGATATTTCAATTATTATTTGAAATATTCAATAATAAATAACACATTGTAAAATTTATGAATTATTTATAAGTTAAGGTAGCTAACGTTAGCTAGCATTTACATTTACGAAAAACTTAAAGTTACATACAT